CCCATTGGATGAAAATCTTATGGGTAGAATTTATGATTGAGAATTTCATGGAGACATGGATTCTTGATTCTTGGTGCATTCATTGAAATGGGTTGAGATTGAATGCGAAGAAATTCGGTTCAATTCAATCTAGGATCGTGACAAGGGAATTTAATACATTCGGGAATTTCACTCTAAGCCACGAAAGTGGATAGAGTACTCTCTTGGATAGCGGGTTTTCGGTTTGAGAGAACCGAACCCGACCTTAGTCTTGGAATCCCTCACTTTAGAATAAACACGATCTAGGTCCATAATTCCTTACGGCATCCTTGCATGATCGGTGAAACTCGATTCTCATAACCTTTCCCATCGATTATCTCCTCTTGAATTATTGCTTGCTTTGATTTTATTTCTCTCATTTAATTTTCTGCAACCTTGAAAACCACAAAAACAATTCTCCAACTTTATTTTTACCATTTTCCTAGTTTTAGTCGATTCCTAGCTCAACCGCTTAAGTCCTTGTGTTCGACTCCGGTATTACGACATCCGTATACTTGCGGATTAGTTGTGTTTCGGGTTACAAATTTAAGACTCGTCACGCAAGTGATCAACTATTTGTGGTTCTCGAACTTCTTCGAGATCTACTCTACTCCCACAAACTCTCTTGGAGACTAATTCTCTCTCCAAGAAAGATCCATTCCGAGCAACAAACACTTTGTTCTCAGATGGGTTGTAGAACCAGTACCCTTTAGTTTTCTTAGGGTAACCCACAAATATGCATTTATCATATTTAGCGGATAGCTTATCAGAAGCCAGACGTTTCACATAAACGTCGCATCCTCAAATCTACATAAACGCTAACCTGGGACGCTTTCCAGTCCATATCTCATATGGCGTCTTCTGAACCGACTTTGTTGGACAGTTGTTCAGTATAAGCGCAGCCGTTTCCAGAGCGTAGCCCCAAAAGGATTTAGGAAGATCGACCTGACTCATCATAGACCGATATCATATCTAATAAGGTTCGGTTCCTCCTCTCGGACACGCTATTCCACTGTGGCGTTCCAGGTGGAGTCAGCTGTGAGACAATCCCACAATCTGCCAGATAGTCAGTGAACTCTTGGCTCATATACTCGCCACCTCGATCAGATCGAAGCAACTTGATCGTCTTGCCAAGTTAGTTATGTACCTCGTTTCTGAAAATCTTGAACAATTCAAGTGTTTCAGACTTATATCTCATCAAGTGGACATAACCGTAACTACTGAAATCATCGGTAAACGTAACGAAGTACAAATAATCTCCTTTGGCGGGTGAGCTAATAGGACCGCATACATCACTATGTATGAGCTCTAGTAGCTCTGTAGCCCGTTCTCCTTTTCTAGTAAAAGGAGATTTTGTCATCTTGCCCATCAAACAAGAATCGCACGATTCGATTGATTCATAATCAAAAGAATCAAGAAGTCCATGAGAATGAAGCTTCGCTATGCGTTTTTCATTGATGTGACAAAGTCGACAATGCCAGCGATAGGTCGGGTTTAAGTCGTTCGGCTTAATCCGCCTGGTACTAACGTTATAGATTGACCTGTATCTAGATGGTTCGTCATCCAAAATATAAAGACCATTAAACTGGTAACCTTACCATAGAATAAATCACCTCTATAAATGGACAGACCTTTGTTCTCAATAACAAATTTAAAACCATCCGAGTCTAAGCATGAAATCGATATAATGTTCTTGTTAATAGCAGGAACAAAATAATAATCATGCAACTCCAATACAAGACCAGAAGGTAAAGTCAGATCATAAGTCCCGACGGCTAATGCAGCAACTCTTGTTCCATTCCCGACGCGGAGATCTACTTGTCCCTTCGCCAATTGTCTACTTCCTCGCAGTCCTTGCACATTTCAACAAATGTGCGAGGCACATCCGGTATCTAATACCCATTATGTAGAAGTGAACAAGTTCACCTCTATAACGAAGATACCAGAAGTCGAAGCTTCTTTAAGCTTCTTCTTCTTCTGATCTTCCAGGTAGAGTCTGCAATTTCTATACCAATGCCTGATGGCATGACAGAAATAACACTCTTCCTTCTTGGACTCAGGCTTAGGTTCAATGACAACGCTTGCCACTTTCCTCTTGCCCTTGCCCTTGGAACGTTTCCTTTTGGTGGAACTCTTTCCAACAACTACCATATCATTCTTCCCTCGGCTCCCAGCTTTCTCTTGGAATGACACATTCAACTGATCAACCATCAAAGAATTGTCCATGTCCTCTAATTGTTTACGCAATTCTGAAGTCATGTTTCCAAGTATCAAGCTAGACATGTCCAGATCATCATCCACATGCTTCCAATAAGCATCAATGATCGATCTAGAAGCCGTGGTCAGAGGCTTATCCTTCATAAGGATAGATCGCATGGTGGGATTATACAGATTCCTGCAACAAGTATGTTCTACAGAAAAAGACAAACAAATAGAAAGAAAATATGCAAGTCGCTTTGTACACACTAACATAGACAATAGATGCAATATGACAGGCTCCCACTAAGAAAAACACCCTCAATGAGTTTCTAAGTGAGTTAGGATCCATATTTCATATGCTTTTGAGTCAGCTAGGGCATGACGCTCAAAACCATGCTATTTAGATAGACAA